GATACAGACTGTAAAGCGCATAGAGCTTGCTGTAGAGCGGGAAATTGCACTATTCAAATCGCTACTTTAGATTTACAAAGGTCTATCTGACATTTTGAGAGCATCCGCGCAAAGAAATGAATGGAGAACCATGGTCGCCGAAGTCTGTCGCAGATCTGTCTCTGGATGATGATCTGACATTTTGAGCCGTTTTTTGATTTACGAAGACTATGAGGTCAGAAACCAAATGTTTTATCTGCTCTATCAAAATGGTAAGATTATCCGGAGTCGATATCAAGATGTTCAACGAAATGCATTCGAAAAAGTTAGACATGATGTAAAACTCAAAATTATTATTATCATATATATATATATATATATATAATTATTATTATTATTGTTATGTTATATATAACAACTATATATGTTATGTTATTATATATCACTATTAGTACTATACTCATAGTATTAGTATTATTATTATTAGTATTAGTATTACCCTATTATCCAGAAACTTTTGTATGTATTTTGATATCCAAAATTGTGCTATGGAAATTACCAAACTTTGGCTGCCATTTTTTCGCTAATTTCACCCCTGAAACATGACCACCTTCAATCGCAAATATTTCGACTTCTATTCAACATAGATGGACATTTTTTCCACCAAAAGCAAAGCAAATGAACAGGCTTTAAGATGATACCAGTAATCCCATATGTCCAAAATTGTGCATTCCGAAGTAATACCGGTTCTATATGACAAACATTATTCGATTATATTTGAAGAAACCGACTGAAGGCAAATCGCACGAGGGACGCTCACTGTGAAAAAACATTCAGGAAACGACAAATGTGAATCGTGCTGACAAAATGAGTTACTTCTCAGATTCAAGCCTGAAGAAAAAAGATACTACATCACGTTTATATGTGGAGTTTTTACAATTTACACGTATGAAATGATAAAAGACAGGTCATAATGTATGTAGTTAAAGAACGTGGCATCAAATCAATAGGAAATCTACATATTGACCCTAAAGTCGATTTTTTGGGGCCAATAATGTATCTCCATTTGTAGATTGCGAGAGGTAACTCATTTTGTCAGCAAGCCTCACAAATGTAGTTTTTGGGACAGCTGAAAAGACATAAGGGTCTTGAACATCTTGCTTTCACCGGCAAAATTGAAGGCAAACGAGGCAGGGGTAGGCCCAGAGCAACTTACTTAGGGAACCTAAAAAAATGGGTAACGGGAAAAGATCAGGGAAATGTAGCTCTTTTAAGAGCATCCGAGGGAAGAAATGAATGGAGAACCATGATCGCCGATGTCTGTCGTAGATCTGGTACTGGATGATGGTTGGTCATCTTGGACGGGATAGACTGTTTTTCCATCTGTGTGCCTGTTTGTCAGTCGGTCAGTTTGGTTTTTCCTTTCTTTTGGGGGGGGGGGGGTTGGGGGGTGGCTGTTGTTGTTGTTGTTGTTTTTTATATTGTTGTTTATTCTTCAAAACTATTCTTCAAAACATATAATTATCCCTTTATTTTCAAATTCTCCCCGGTAAAGCATTAGTTGTTGAGCTTATTTTTTTAAACGTATAATTATCCCTATATTTTCAAATTCTCCACCGTGATATTGCGGGTTCGGGGGTTCAAGCCTGAGCTCGGTCCGACGTTGTGTCCTTGGGAAAGGCACTTAACACGAATTTCCCACTTGGCTCGGTCCTTTCGGAGATGGACGTTAAACAAGGAGGTCCCGCCTCTTAGATAACCTAATAGTGTTGATAGGGGCGTTAAACCCCTACCATTTCAACATTTTATAATTTTTTTCAAATTCTCCCAGGTAAACCATTAGCTATGGCAGTTCGGATACTGATGACGGGGGTGTTGGTTTTTTTGTTGTTGTAGATATTGTTGTTTATTTTTTAAACATATAATTATCCCTTTATTTTCAAATCCTCCCAGGTAAACCATTAGTTGTTTATGGGGGGTGGGGGGTTGCTGTTGTTGATATTGTTGTTTATTTTTACAACATATAATTATCCCTTTATTTTCAAATTCTCACAATTTTAAACCATTAGTTGCTGGGTTTGGGGGGGGGGGGGGGGTTGGTTGTGTACCCTGTTCGATGAACGGACTAAAAAGGGTGGATCGTCAAGTCATTGTGGAACCAGTACGCACTGTTTGTGAACGGAACTCTCACTTGTTTACAATAGCGTCTTAGAAGACGGACATTCCCAAGATTAGATCCAAACAAAACTAAT